GTCGTTGGTTCATCCAAGTGTCGGTTTCCCCTACCTGTTGGCTGGGAGTCTTCCCCGACAGTAATGGATGTGCGCCATCATCTTGGCATACCTTCTACCACCTTGACCTACTCCTGTTAGGGGCAGCTATTCTGTCCCTTTGCATCAAGACGACATTGGCCTACTCCTTCAGTTTCTCCTTCACTTGTTTTGCTTGGCTCCGGCCCGTTCTACCTGCAAGCTATTTCTCCGTGGCCTGGAGAATATGCGCCCTGCCTATGGGCCACTGACACCTCAGTGGTCTCTCCAGTTCTTTGGCAACCCTCAAGGCTGCCTTTCTCCTGGCAGTACCCTTAGCTTGCAGGGCTGGAGGACTAGCTGCAGTAGCAGCTGGCCCTCCTTTCTCCAAAGTACCCCTTCGGCCAGTCCTTACCTTGCATGAGGTATTTTTCTGTCTTCCATTTGAACCAGCCAGCTTTCCTTCCTGGTTTCTTCCCCACCCCATCTTCACTGCTGGAGACAGCTCTGCACGCTCTAGACATGCAGCGTGCTTTGCCACATTGTGTGCATTGCACAACCACTTTTCAGGCCTCACAACGTTTCTCTGTCACCTTTGCTGGCTCTCCTTCAGAGTAGCGGCTTTCTCTTAGACCTTGTCTAGCTGGATAGTCCAGACCATCCACCTTCCCTTTGATTTGGCATGCACTCTTCTTCCAAGATCAGTGAGAGTTCACTCTGCTACAGCTGTGACATCCTCAACGGCCTTTCTCTGTCACGTGGACGTCACGGATGTCTGCCGTGCTGCCACGTGTGCCACTCTGTCTCCCTTCACCTCGCCCTACTGCCTGGTTGCCCAGCTTTAGGTTCAGGCTGCAATAGGACAAGCTGTCCTGGCTTCTGCACTTTTGTGACGACCCTCCTCTGGGTTGGTCAGCTTGCTAGTCACCCATTAGTGTGTATTCACAGAGGACATGAAGGAGAAAAGAGGTTACCTATCTGTAACTCTGGTTCTTTGAGTAGTCCTCTGTGAATTCACACGTCCCACCTTCCTCCCCGCTGTCTGTCACGTATGCCATGTCATATTGGGCAGTGGCGGTCGGTTCTTTAAGAACTGAAGCACTGGGCCAGAGGCAGAGTTATATAGCCAGGTGTAGGGAAAGTCCCAGCACTAAGTGCTAAAAGCTATGGAAGTTACCGAAGACTGTTCTGCTCAGCCGCAGATTAACCCATTAGTGTGAATTCACAGAGGACTACTTGAAGAACCAGAGTTACAGGTAGGTAAACTCTTTTTCTTTGAGGCCGTTCCATAGGCAGACCAATCTTCACGTTGGTAGTCCATTCCGTAATCCAGAAGTCCCCAAACCCCGGTCCGCAGATTGGTCCCAGTCTGTGGACTTGCCAGGACCAGGCCACTGAGACAAATCTGCCTCCCCGCATGCCAGACACAGTCATGTCCCTCCCACACACAGACAACCCCTCCCATGCATACACATGCCCTCCCACACATGCACAGCCCCTCCCAAGGCCCCTCCCACACACACATGGCCCCTCCCACACATGCACGAATCCCCACCCACACGCTAAACTGGTTCATGGAGGCAAAAAGGTTGGGGACCACTGCTGTTAACCCATGTATCAGTAGGCCATTCCAATCCATATGTCCACATACCTTCTGTCCAGTGTACCCTTTTACCCAAAAGCAGGACCAAATTAACACCAGCCCTTGTCAATGGATAGTTACAGAAGGTGGTGACTGAATGTGCAACTACATAGAGGGGGAAATATGGTTCGATTCACTGTATATTTGCAGTTTATGAGATCGGGCTTCCCTGGGTAAATTGCTGTAGCTTTCCAGATGGCAATTTGCAAGAGTCAGTGGCAGAGAGTCAGAAAGTTCCATTTGCACAGCTCTCCAACACTAGGAGCTACCTTAACTTGCTAACGAAGTGCTAACTGGCAATTTCCACCAGTTTCTCTTTGTTTTGTTCTCCTAAATGCCCCGGCAAAACCCTTCCAACACTGAGTTGAAGCTGCTTTTTAAAAAAGGCACTGTAGGAGACTAGGGGTGCTCAGTTGCGAGGAACCGATGGTCCTGTGAGTGCCTCTTTGCCCCAGATCAGGTGTTCACACTGGCGGAAAGTGGACAAAAGTGATGTCAACCTGATTGGAGAACATTTAAACCTCCCATGCTGGCTGAATAAAAAAAGATGATTCCTCACTCAAGAAAGACAAATTCCATAATGGGTTTTCCCTCATTGAGCTTTATGTCAGGTAGTCACCGGGTTTCATTTGAATTCATTTCTGCCCAATCTGATGTGACTGCAGGGTGATGGCGGGTGTGATCACCCCCTGAGTAGGAAACCAGTGTAGAAATGAAACAGAGGTAACTTCGTACTCTGTTAACACCTGCTTCCAGAGCCTGTGATTTGAATCTGCTGGCGCTTTACAAAGGCACTGCAAAGCCAAGGAGCTCTGTCACGCTTTCCTTTTAGGAACATGACATAAACATGGCACACTGTTGCACAGGTTCATATGCTCTGACTTAACTGATTTGGGAATAATATGATCCTGCACCACATTCTTTTGTAGTAATTTACATGAAGAGATTAAAAGACCTTCCATTTCCTCTTCTTTTTATGGGCTTGTATAAGAATTCTACCCTGCCTGGGACTTGGTTTGATTGTTGTTTTGAAAATAATTCCTAGGGACAATGGCCTCATGCCTCACTAATGCTGGCTTAGTGCCTACAAAATCTCAGGTTCCGTAAGTGTTAGACATCTGAGACTGGAACTACATGTGTCAACCACACCTTGTGCTTTCCCACATAGGAGATATTTGTGGGAGCTGCAGCACCAATGAGCAAGACCATTCACATGGAGCAGCACAGACTGCAACATTTAAAGATTATACTTCTGAAACGTTCCCCTTTGTGTCAAAACATTTTATTGTATTTTTAATCTTAAATGCACCAGTAGAGTTGAGATGATAAGCAAGATATTAACATACAATCTATAAATCAATTAACAACAATAAAAATGGAACACAACCAGGAGTGACACAAGCTACACTGTTGCCTGAGGAGCAAAGAAAACCACGCACACCTAACCACTTCCAGGGCTGCCACCAATGCTTCCCATGTGTATTGCAAAGATATGGAGAAGAAAGACGAGGAGATGCATGCTGGGTGAAAACAGTGGTGGTGAGGTTGCAAGAGAAGCTGAGCTGCTTCTTTGCCAGCTACTTTAATAATAACTTGCCTGAGGGTGCTTTTAGGCAAAAGACACTCAACCAATTAAGTAGGCTCAGGTTTTTTAATCGATTCTTCACATCTCAGGGAATGGGAAGGTGCCAGCCTGGCAATTCTATATGTTGTGGTTCATTCACATGGCTTCAGACATGCCATTTAGACATGCTCAGAAGCACCCCTTTTCCTTATTTTGTATGGTCCTGGTGGGGCCTGACACATTTGAAGGGGGGGCACAGACTGGAAACAATGCTTCACACAGCACCTTATCAGGTGACTGATACAACCCTAATTCACCTATATTTCTTTTCTCTTCATATTGTGTTTATGGCCATGGCCAAAGAAAGCTAGACTAGCTAGAATTCACACATCATCCTTTATATTGAATCATAAAATCTTTATATTGTCTATATGTCACTCATACTGTTTTGCAATTGTTGAGGAAGGCTCTGCCTTGAAATACGACAGTGGTTGACCTCTGTGACATAACTAGCGTTTGCCCCCACACTAAGTTGATTGTTCCCTCCCCCACAACTGGCTGCCATTTTGTTTGTTTGGACCTCTGTGACATAACTAGCGTTTGCCCCGACACTAAGTTGATTGTTCCCTCCCCCAGCAACTATATAGCTGGTGGCTGCCATTTTGTTTGTTTATTTTCTTAACACATCCAATGGATTGGTTGATTGTAGTGTGGGAAGATACAGTGATGGCCTCCAAAAGGCTATCTCCCAAGAAGGCTAGAATTCCTTAGCATTAAATTAAAAAAAAAACATAAAAGCTGACTGCTCTGCCCAGTGTAAGCCCTTCTCTTGCAGATCTTAAGAAGAGGCCCACTGTGGTGGCTTTGCCAAGGATCCTGTAAACTTTGCTCAGAGTAGCCTATACTTTTGTGCTTCTGCATTGGTTACTATTCTGGGCAATAGTAACCAATGCAGACAATACTACGTCACACAGATTAGAAAGCAAACACAAATTGGGGCTTCGTCAATTAAGAACCAACCCAAACCAAGCCTCTGCATTTCTGTGGAAGGAAATAACAAGGATGTTTACATAGGACTAAGAGCTTGGAACACAAAGCTAGTGATTAAAATATCAGCACTATTCTTTTACTTTGGCAAAGAGGATTTAAAAATTATGGATAACATTTCCCCCCCTTTTTTTCCCTGATGTGAAAAAACACATTGTGTAAGAAGAAATTATCAGGTTTTTTTTAAAAAAAGAACTCAACATTCTATGGCTGGCAAAGTCTGGAAGAGGGGATGAAATCTGCATGTGGGTCAAGATGGGACCCGGGAGCAGAGTTCAGCAATTTCTGGAATGCCCAGAGGTTGGGTCTAGAAGTGGATATGAGATGGAGTCCAGCAAATCTGGTAAGAACTGTTCCAGTTAAGAGCCCACCAAAAATAAAACACATCTCTTCACATAAACTTTACGTAGCTATGAAATAAAAGGCCTGGAGTGGAGGGTGGCTTTTCCCCTAATGGTCTGGCAACTAGCTTCAAAACAATGACAAGCCAGGTCATTTTCTTTTGGCCAGTTGGCAATAGTGCCAATGAATTGAAATACCTATAACTAGAGATGGACACAAACTGGAAAACTGGTGGTTCATGAAGTTTTGTGGTTTGTGGCTAACTACAAACCACCACAAACCCCCAGAAAAATGAACCAGCTTGTGGTTCGTTTTTCCGGTTTGTGCCTGGGAGGGACCTACTGCTCCTGCTCTCTGCCTTCTCTGCTCCCTGCCCACCCCTTCCCACCACCTCTGTCGCCTCCTTACCTGGTCCTGCTGCCGCCATCTCCTCCACCACAGCCACCACTGCCATCACCCTCAAAAACCAAGGGCCCAGCTACTCTTCCAGACTTCCCTGCAAGGAGCTGGGCCTGCTGCCTCTGAGGATGATGGTGGCAGCAGAAGGAGCAGGTAGGGAGGCTATGGTGGCAGTGGGAAAGGGGTGGGCAGGCGTCCTGTTTAGGCAAAGCAAAATGAAGTACTGAGGAGAAAAAGTTTGGTGCTTCATTTTGCTGAAGCAAAATGGGATCCCTAAACCTGGTCACAAACTGAACCATGAACCAGCCCGGTTCTTCAGCTTTCCTGGTTGGTGGTTCGGTTCGTGCCCATCCCTACCTATAAGATATTCCAATATTCAGCTGGTAATCTAGGGCTCAGCATTTTCCTTCCACAAATCTATTTTTTAAAAATACTCAAAAGGATCCCCTCAGACTTTTTTAGGGGGCAGAAGGCCCAATTCACCATATTTCACAACTGAATTGTTTTACACTGAGGGGAGGGCTTTATTTATTTATTTATTTATTTAATTTATACCCCGCCTATCTCGCCCACCGGACCACTCTAGGCGGCTTCCAAATATAAAATCAAATAATAAAACATAGACAAATACATAATAATCAAACAAGAACAGCAGTAAAGATAAAAAGGAAAAGTAAGAAAAAAATCAAGAGTTGGCTGGAGGGAAGGCCTGAATAAACAGCCATGTTTTTAATTGTGTTTTAAAGGTGCCCAGCGTGGGGGCCGCGCGAATCGCCGGAGGGAGATTGTTCCAGAGGCGAGGAGCCACCGCCGAGAAGGCCCGATTTCGTGTCTTCTCCTTCCGGGCCTCTCTGGGCGTCAGGCTCCTCAGCCTCACCTCCTGACTCGCGCGGGTGATCCGGGTAGACCTTGGTGGTTTTTGTACAACCCTGGGCTTAAAAACACCTTAGACAGGTGATGTGAAACATTGCAAAAATTTCACCTCACATCTCTTATGTGTACGCTTTTTTTCAATAATTATCTTCTTTTTAAAAAAAGAATGTAGATGGATGCGGGTTGTGGGAGTGGGGAAGATGGAGGCAGTATTTCAGGGCTCAGGGATTTGCTTGTGTGATAATTGTACCTTTGGATGTTGAGCACACCTGAAAGCCAAGAATTTCATATTATGATTTCAGAATCATTCTTATCGTGAATGTAGCATATCTGAAATTGTTTACTTTTAACTGAGTTTCCAGGACCTACTTTTGTTGGCTCATAGATTTTTAAAAAATGTACCTCTTGTAAATTACTCTCCAGTATTTATTTTAAATCATGCTGAAAGTCCAAAGGCTGACATAATATCGACAAAAGCAGTTTGCTCTAATTCTCTACATTACAATCTCATATCTTTTCTTTGAGTTTTCAGATATATTGTCACAATTTCTCCCTCCATTTCTTTTCTATCTAGTGCTTTAGTGGCACTGAGGATATGATAGTGGAGTGTCTATCATATTTTCTGTCTTAGAAGTCTCCTTTTAACATTATTTTTCAGTATTTGGGTACAGCATATTTGGGTCCCTGTCATCCAAGAGGGGGGAGTGTCTGATCTTGATTTGGTGGGATCTTCCTGCTTAGATGCGGAGTAGCTGGTGGGATGCAAATAACCCAGCAAGATACTTCACATCAGTAACAAGTTATTTGTTTTCTTTTGTCAGCAAAGCACAGGGACACTGCTCTCCACATAACAGTTGTTTATTATCCGTCAAGCTGTAATGCCATTATATGATTAACTGCTTTTATTATTTTAGGCAATGGGAAACAAAGGTGGGAGAGGGGAAGCTAAGTACTGTATGTGATGTGCTTGTCTATCTGTGGTCTGCATATAGGATTATATAAAGATTGCACAAAGTAGCCCTGAGCCATCTGATCATTGAATTACTTTTGAATCCTCTCTTTCTTTTTCTCTAGGACTTTCAAGGATCACTAAATTTGGTCACTTTCTCAAATTCAATCCTGAGATTCATCCTTTTGAAAGATACGTCTTTTAAATCATTAGTTGATATTATTTAATATAATATAATGGCTGAAATCTTGTTACGCAATTATACAAACAGCGTAACTTTTAGTGGCAAAATACTATAAGTTAAGAAATCTCCACTGACATTATCTATTGAAATGAGTTCTTATGGCAATTTAACTCTAAAAGTTGTGCTGGTTTTGTAACCATGCAACAGGATTTCAGCCAGTATACAACAGGATTTTTATAAAATACAATAGTATCTCTATCCATCCATCCATCCATCCATCCATCCATCCATCCATCCATCCATCTATCTATCTATCTATCTATCTATCTATCTATCTATCTATCTATCTATCTATCTATCTATCTATCTATCTATCTATCTATCTATCTATCTATCTATCTATCTATCTATCTATC